TACCACTAAACATCCCACCCAGGCAATGACAGACAGAACAAGCCTTGAATTGAATTCAAGTCAATTTAATTGAAGCCTTGAATTGACGCCTGTGGCACGAAGAGGCAGGAGGAAGCTGCTTGCAAGAAGTAACATGCACAGTCTACATCCTCCATCCTATTGCTCTGCAGCCCCCAATTTGGGGGAAAGGAGGGGTATGATGTGCATGTTACTTCCTCGGTGGAGACATTAATTGCACCACAGGAGCAATTAGTTTGATGGACCTCAGGTCAATCACAATCTGGGCAGGCAACCACAGATTTTTGTGTTAGAAATCACCTATTAGATCATCTARTGTACAATACTGCCAAACAGGATAGTTACTTATCGTGTATTTTCCACTCTTTTGTCCAATCTGGTTCTAAGTAACTGAAGCAATGGGTCTGCTACCGTATTCTCTGGCAAACGCTTCAACAGTGAAACAGATTTCAACATTAGAAAATGTTTTCTAATATGCCTATATTTTCCTTTGCTTAATGTCACACCATTACTCTTATTTGCTCTCCTGCAGACCACCCGGTACACTTTTGGGTGCAGCTTTGTATTTTAGGAAAGTAGACGAAGTAAACTTCCCTTAACAAGTTGCTATCAAGGAAGGTAAAAATAATTTCAGAGTATTTTCTTCAGTACAGTTACGGGGAACAAACTCCAATATCTTATGTATTTTATCCTTATTAAATGAGTATCGTTAGCCATTAGTCCWAAGTCACCAAGAGGAGTTCTCTACCAGAAAAATGGAAAAAGAATGTGCAAGGACACAAATAAAAAATAAACATAGTAATAAAAACTCAGAAAACCTTGAGCAGTTAGACTATTTGAAATTATGCATTAATTGCATTATATATACACTGAATATTGGTAATTACCAAACTAATATCCTCATCAACAGAAAGTCCAGCAACAATGGTAACACAGCTACCTTCACTTCAGTTGATAATTGTTAAATTACTAATCCATAACATTGTGATTGTAGAATTTTACATGTAAAATTTATCAATATGTTCTTATGCAGTTGTAAATGAAACATTTCAAATTTACCATCTAATATATGAAAGCTTTCGTTATTTATGCTAGAAGAGAAACTTAATCTAATTTATATATGAGGCTCACTAAGCACCTAGAGAGCGTATTTCACACATGCAGATATTTGGAGAATTGATCCACCAGGATGGTGCAATGCTGTAGCAGTATATGCTTCTCCCATAGGGATATAGTATATAAAAGGTGGAATTTTACTGCTGTCATTAGGGTACCTTTCTCAGGACTTTCACTTCTTGATTTGCAGTAACCAAAATTAATGACCACTTTATTGTCATTAACTACTGGTGATTAAAAACACACGAAGTACTTAAATACTATARTACTATAAAATCAAATAAATACTACAGGATCTACAAATAAAAATCATATGGACTTTTTTCTTAACAGCAAGACAGAACAAGAAACAATTTGTATGGGAGTGGGACATTCTCTGAGGTGTTTTTAATACGCTCATTCCAGCAGGGTTACATACCCAGATCTCCAGATCGGAGATCTTTTGCAATAAGGAACATGTCACATCTATACCATCTATACAGATGTCACATCTGTACCTTTTAGGGCAGCAGCTATTTACATGGTGTGTATACATTGTTTTACATCACATGCTGAGACCAGGACAAACTACTTGTCAGTAGGCAAACCAGGACATAACTCACAAGAAACAGCAATACATTCAGAAGAAAAAAGGCAAATGATTTTGTTGGAACTCTGCACTGGAAATTACTGCCCAAGGAGATGGGCAGAGGTAACTGCTACCCAGGGCTAAATCACCACTCAGGCTCTAAAATAGGTTTCATTACTGCTAATTAAAACAAACAAGTTTGTGCATACAATTGCACAGACACCTGTAAAGAAGGGTGTATGCTCCCCTGTCCTGAAGAGGGCATGAAATCATAGTGCTCTGTACTCTGTGGGAAACAAAAGGTGCTTTTGAAGTAATGGATAGCTGCATGATTAGGTACCCATTTCATGGCTCACAAAGCACACCAATTCATTTCTGAAGCTTTAATAACTCTTAACATTCAGTATTCCGATTCCCAATCAACCACATCTTTACATATTCTTTTCCACAATCTCTTCCTTTGTTATACATCAAATGTTAAAACTACTTTGCTTTAAGAATAGCAATCCTCTAATTGTTCCCCATAATTTAATGGTTTTTCTCACAACGATGATTGATGATATAATGGGGGTAKAAGAGAAGCAGGGAATTTACAAGAAGTATGATGTACACCCTTGCCAAAATTGGAACCGATTGCTTCCTTTTCCTTTATGCACACGTTTTAAAATAAGAACATGAAGACACAAATCTCCTTCCAAGTAGTACATCTAACAAAAGAAATGAAGAACATTTTAAGCAACAGTCAAAAAAGCATTCTTCACAAGACTCGAAATAATAGGTTTAATTTGTGCAGATATATACTTCCTGAAATAGGAAAAAATGGGAAAAAAAGAACATTCACAATAGCTAAACAATAGATGTAAAGATAAATAACCATTCAGAATAACAAGAAGTGGTAAGGGATGAACATGATTTAAACTGAGTAATTAAAGTTGCAGAATAGKCTCTCTGTTTCCTCAGCAGTAGGTGAAATATGCATTTTAGCTGAAGTTCAGCCCTTTGGAGGTTCAAAATTCAAGATTAGCTCTACTCTGATGTCGAAGATATACAGCGTGAGTAAGTATCTTCACAAGGACGTTGCAAAAGTTTGAAACATCATTCCATCATAAACTTGAAAGCTATTTGTAATTGCGATCAAGGCTCTGCCCATATCTTTTTAGACATTTATTCAGTACCAGCAGAGGAGAAGGTGTGACCCAAGAAAAGTCATCATCCTTCCTAAAAGCACTCTTTCAATGCCCAATGCAGAAGGCATGCTAACAATTAGGATTTTTTTTTTTTTCTTAAATCAGGACATTTTGTTTAACTACTTTGGCCAGATTATAATTTTCCCAAATTGACATAAAGATGTTTTCATAAGAATTATGTTTCTGGTAAGTCTTAATTGATGGAAACATATATTAGGTGGGGTCACATATATGAAGATATTTTCCAATAATAAAATATAGTATGTATTTCATCTGTCTGGTATTTAGAATATATTACGTGTTACACAGACAAGAAAAACAGGATTGTTAGAATTACTGTTCATAATTTCTAAGTAAAATTTGGTCCTGACCTTGTAATACTGCTGTAATGCAGCGCTCGGACTGTGACCCACGCTGAACAGGCCTCGACCCTGGGTGCTCCCAGGAAGCGTGGAGCTGCAGGCGTAGAGCCCAAAAGGCCTTGGGTAAGGGAACAGAAAAACTGATAATGCAGATTGGCAGACTCATATCACCTAGTAGCTGGCAGCTTAAATACAAGCCAAATCATCCTCTAATTTCCTGTACAACACAAAGAAAGACATGTCTGCACTGAAGTACCATTTCAAGAAGTCTGACTGGGGTACAGTGAATCTTTTCCTCCACTGCCTAAAAGGAAGTAAACTCTTAACATAAGCAACAAGCATTGAAGTGAGGTACTTCAAAGTTATGTAGTACGAAAGCTGCTTTAAAGTATTTTTTGCTCATCCTTTCTAAAAGATACATTTGCATAAAAACACTCCACATATACTTTTAATTTCTATATGTACATATACAGCATTCCTTGACTATTTCTAATTTAGAGAGAAAAAAATAATTTCATCTTTCACTTCAACAAAAGTATCACAAAAAAAGGTGGGGTTTTTTTTTCCCCTTTGTTTTGATTTTCATTTTAAGTCGGACACCTCTGTTAGGTACTTATAAGGTGATATTGTTTTCTCCCCAGATAACCTGCCACAGGAGGAGAAAAGCTTGCTTCAACACCAGCCTAAGATAAAAATCCTTACCAGGAGTGCARTCCTTAGACTCCTTGGACTGCCCTCTGGGCACAGCTCCATGCTTGATTTTTTTTCTCCAGGAAAAAGACATTCCTCCTCTCCTTTGTCTCCTAAAGCATTTCCGTTATCTCATCACCACAATTTACTTCCCCTCCAAAGTGCCAATGCAACCGATTGCAAAACTGTGCCGTGAGCTAGATCTGTGCAAAGATCCAGCCAAAACAGCAATTCCTTTTTAAAACAAATTATTTCATTGCTGTGGCCGAGAGGCTGCTCTCGCCAACAGCTGCCCCAGCACAATTGCAGCAGTGACAAGCCTTGGCAGAGGCATCTCTTCAGTCTGGGGGGAAGAAAGCAGAGTGACAAACAGGGTTTCCTTAAACAMTAAGCCACTAAACTGGTGGCAGCCAAAGGTGTCTACAAGAGAACTAGACTACCTTCCCACCYACTTTAAAAGAAACTCTTATACAGTCAAGAAATCAGCAGAGAATTGCATTTCTAGTCACAAATTAATGTTGTTTCAAGCACAAAACATGTTAAGCGATTTGCTTTCAAATTAAAGTAATAGGAAAAAAAAGATTTAAAAAAATGTTTTGGCATTTGAAAGTAATCTTTCTATATTTTCTTTCTAAATGAATAGGGAGAAAGGGAAAAAGARGCAAAGCAAATCAAAAATATATACATTAACGGCAAGGAATAAAAAAAGGAAAAATACATCTGACATTAAGAGTTAAAAACAATGAATTTTATGGGATTATGGGATATTTCAGTTATCTCAGTTTATGGGATATTTCAGTTTAATACTAAACTGYAACTCACAACTTAGGCACGCATTAGGGATTTCTTGCTTACAGAAAACAGAACTGAAAACTTATTTACATTTGGAAGTAATACTCCACTGTCATTTAAAAAGGCAACAGAAACTTCAACCTGAAATGCATATCCTATATMTATTTGATTTTGAGAAAAATCATAAAATACACAAGTTCAATGACTCGGAGGTCATTCTTACCCTTCAGGTTTAACACTGAAATTTAAACATTTAACTTTACTTACAGAAACATCTTTCAGATTTTTTTCATAGGAGAAATGACACTCTGCATCTTCKTCACTTCTAGCAATAATGAAGTTATATTTGTCAGTTGATTCTTTTCCAAGTATCAGTGCTTTCTTCAGTTCCTCGACATATTTTTCTCTATCCATTTCCATATCTGCAGCTTCCCTAGAAATCTCAGGTTCAGAAACTATAGGGGGGGGGGGGGAGAGAGAGAGAAAAAAAAATGAGAAACACTCATGTACGCGCGTGTACATGCACAAACACTTCAAGGGATAGACTAAAGGAGACTTTTCTTTTCTTGACATATTTATGTCCAAGACACTAATGGAGACACTCCATTCAAGCTGCTGAATATAGATTTTGCGTAAGAATTAAAACTGTGGGCCCTTTTTCCTGTCTGGAAGTGGTTTATTGCTACTACTCTGTACTTTTGCTTGCCTGAAGCTATTCTGTATCAGTTATTTTGTAACACTAACTCTACAACAGAAAGGGTGGACTGTTGTCCCCCATCTCGTTCTCTTTGAAAGTGAGCAATCTAACCCCAGGAGAGAGCAGACATGCAACTCTCCTCACATACACCTGCTCCACTCTAATCTCTTAACTTGCCTTCTTAAAACAAAATAAGATCAAAACAAAGAGCATACCCCGAGGTGTATGAATCGCCTTTTTACTATTAAAGATTCAATGAGGGATGTCTCCAATTTGCATTAGATCAGATCTATTGAGAAACTCTTATTCCATTCCTTTGGACACTCCTAGGAGTGCCAAGTCTCTCACACAGGCAGATCTAAACAAACGCTCTAAATTAGGTCATATTGTATATATGTAACATAGTCCAGGCTTTAATGTATAGCCTACTAGTACAGTATTTTATATCCTCTACTTGATTCACAAAAGTATTTCCTTTCTATTTCTTTGGAGTAAGATTGCTCTATGTTGTCCTTATGTAAGGACATATATTAAGGACATATCCGTAAGTCCTTAACAGACATTTGCAGTGTTTTTCTGAAAATCAGTCTAGCATCTAAAAGTGGAAGATGCGGAACAGAAAATTGGTTTGTGACAGTCTGGAAAGGAACTTCACAGATTCTGTGAATCTGTGAAGGGCAGGTAGAAACCTTCACACAACTGCAGGCAACTCTTCAAGACAGAAAAAGTAAATCATCTGTATTTCTTCTTTATGTACGTCTCTATCTTTGAAAATCATTTAATACTGGCAGACCTGCAACCTGAATAGAGCAGTATTTCAAGCAAGCACACCTGTTTAAAAAACTGCACTCTCCACTTACCTAGTCTGTACTTCATCAGATTGCTTGTGAGGACATTACAGGAGAGAGTATTGAAAGCTAAAGTCAAAGAAAAAATATCTGCTGCTATCTCCACATCCACCTAGCTTGTCATTTCTTTGTAGTTTGCTGTCATGTTGGTAAGGCTCAATTCTTATGTCATATACCATGCTGACTACCTCCAATAACCTTCTTGTCCTTAAAACATCCAGAAATGGTTTCCACCATTATTGCTCAATCACATAGGAAAGGCAAGACCTCTAGTTACCCAGATCCTCCTCCTTGTCCTTCCTGAAGGTAGGGTTGATTTACTTCCTTCCAGGTCCTCAGAAACCTCCCGCAATCCCCCGTGACCCTTCAAAGGAAATCAAGAGCAGCCTCACAATGAAGTGCCAGCTACCTCCATCCCTGTGGGGCTTATCCCACCAGGTTGCAGCAAGTTGTTCACGTCCACTTTCTCTGGACACAAGTGTTCTCTGACTTTTCCCTCCTCCCAGAGGTCAGTCTTCATTGCACCACTTTCCCATGGCTCTCAGTGGCGGGGATTTCTGTAGGTAAATCTTAACTACTGAAAACTGAGATACCCAACAAGGTAAATGGAAACAGTGCCAAAAGCAAACAAAATCTTTGTTAAGCAAGATCTCATGRAAGAGACTACATTTTACAGAAGAATTGGTAGAAGAGCAATAGCATCCTTCTTTCTCTACATGAACATCTCAATTTTTTTTTTTATTTTTTTTTTTTTTTAAGTATGTGAACTCTTTTCTGATATGGGAGGAGAGGAGAGGTTAAGACAGAAGGCTGTATTTATTGCCATCTGGTACATGACCTTCAAAAGGACCTTAGGTGCAAAGAGCCAGTACAAATGTTTAGCCTCAGTGCTGCACCAGAGCTTCCTTCCTTATGCACCAAATGCATCTGCAGCTGGCAAATAGGAACATGAACCAGAGACACCAAGATATAGTCCTGCAAACACGAAAAGATCAATTTGACAGCTGTGAAACTGAGCATCAATTTCATAACACAACTGTTACCACTATARATTTAGACAAGTGAATCTCATGATTCACTTCATAGTCAAAGCACTGAGCTGCAAATTTATGCTATCAGGTCTTCCCTACCTCATTCTAAAGCAAGTAGACCATGCTGAACCTCAGACTCTACTGTTAAACATTCCAGATTAACAGATAATAGCATTTCCCAACATTTTTAAAATGGCCTTAAACATGAAACAGGTATCATCAGAAATGAGACCTTAACTGCTACCTGCATCTTGATTTTTTCCCCCCTGAAGAACAACTGAAAGCATTTTTACTGTTCATACAAATAATGCTACAATTACTTAACACATGGAATTCTATTTTCATTTTCTATTTCAGATCCTTAGKTTTTTTTTTCCTCACCTTCTTCGTTATTTATACTTAAGTCAAACACATGATTTCTTACACAATGTGCAAACTGAAGTGCATTCTTGTAACTGTTAACTTGGTATAGGTGAAATATTCCAAATGAACTAAGTTGGCTACATTGACAAGAATTAGGTTCAGTATACAAGTCAGCAAACGACTGTGGTTACAGAGTTGATCAGTGCTCCTCTTGAGAAGCAAACAATCCATTTCAAATGGCAAGAAAACGAAAAAAAAAAAAAAGCAGGGGAAAGAAAAGTGTGAAACTTACTCTGAGAACATTTCTTTTACTTTAAGCTACAGTCACCAATCATTTCCTACTTCTCATTAGCTAACTTATTTCTACTTACACTTACAGGACACTAGACAGAGTTGAGGGAGGAAGAAGCGCTGCCAATATGTTAGCATTTGTTTTAAAACAAACAAACCCATGCAGATAGAAGGGTGGTATCCCCGGCACTGGGTGCAAAGGGGGGTCAAAAAATAAATCAGAACTGTTACAGTATGTAAGTGTTTCGATAAAAAGCAATGAGCATCGAAGAAACAAAGAACTACACTGAGAAAACGAGATAAATTCMATCTTAAGAAATATAAAGCTAGTATGCTATAATAGAGCCCTGGGATGATTCTTCTGCTGTGTTTGCATATGCAGTGTATTTCTGTACCTTATAGAATCCACAGTAAAACCAAACAGTCTCTTGGAAAAAAATGAGATTCCAAAATGCACATATCTGTAGTTCTTTAATACTATATTAAATTAATATATTAGATTATACTCAATATTCCTGGATGTTTTACCTCCCTGCTCCCAGACTTTGCCTTTTTGATTAATTTTGTTTAAATAGTAAGACTCCCAACACTTTTCATCATCACTTTAAATATACAAAACCCATAAAAGACAAATCCATCAGCAGCCCTCTCTCATTTACTTCCCAGTAGGTCCTGCCAAGTAAAATTATCCACAGCATGAGAAACCTAAAAGGGATTTCCCACACACATWAAAAAAAAAACAACTGATCATTGCTTTCTATTCTACCCGTCTCAAAGGTGGGATTTAAGTGGTCTTAAATATGATGTGCTAAGTTCAGGGAAAAAAATAAAAAAAAAAAACAGTTACCAATGTATGAAAACACAGACCTGTTCAGTAGAAAATTCTCAGGCACAGGGCTCTGACTCCTAATGAAGTCACTGAAAGGAAATCTGATAGGAATTCCTTGGAAATGGATCAGCTTCTTACCAAAGGAACAAAAGCTCTATCCTTTGGATGAGTATCCTGTTCATGCTAAAGACCAGGAAGGCTTTTCGCCTTTTAATAGAGTGAGGTCATCTTGCTCTCACTGACGCTCTGTTTTAGGAAATGACCATCTAGCAATTCTGTCAGATACAGGAAGTTAACAAAACAGGAAAAGAAATACATACACACCATTTTCATACTCTTTCAGTTAGAGGAGCAATAGATTCTAGAAAAGAAACAGATAAAAAATCCAGGTTTTTGACAATTTTAAGCTGTTGATTTTAAAATTGACACCTCTTATAACAAGAACAGCACCAAAAGCTTTTCAATAAAAAAATCAGGGTACCCATTAGCTTTTAACAACACCAACACCTTTCTGATATGTTGAAAATAGACAATTAGAAAGCTTGTTCTTCATTTGGCATATTCATATTTAACTGCAGGGAGTGCGCATGTGTATGCATCCTTTATGGAGGATTTCCTATGCAATAGAACCTTTGAAATGTTAAATGAATACGAAAAAGTAGATTTAATGCATACATAGATATCTTTAAAATTAGTCCCATTTTCTATGTCAAAAGAAAAAAAAAGAGAAAAATTGTATTCAAACGAAAGCTAATGAATTAAACTTCTCATAATAGAAAATGAAAAGTASAAAGTATTACAAAAAGATGGCTCACAGAAAACTTGGAAAAATCGTAACTTCCACTGGGCAGGGGGAAAATAAAGGAAGAAACCACTGGGATGTCTGTTCTTGCAATTCAGAAAAAGGGTCAGGAAAATATTTTTGCCTAAGAAAGGCTGTTTAACATATAGGCTTTTCCTTCCTTTGAAATATTATTGCCCTTGAGAGAACTGCTTTTGATCACGTATCTGACAGACATTTCTAAAGGACAAACAAATCTCTTCTTTCACTAGACAGGAAAGAGAAACATGCACACATTCAGAGAGCCAACCTCTTATTCACATTTGGGGAGTGGGAAGGAAACCCTACAAGCTATTCTTTTTTTCTTCCAGTAATTCATCCCCAGGAAGAAAAACACAAACACCCYCTCCCCACTCCCTCCCTCTCAAAAAAGAAAGAATAAAAATTAGCACACACAATTGAACAGTAGATTGAGTTCATGTAGATTTAAATAGTAAAATCTTATTAAACCATTTAAAAGCCATTTGCAATTTAATGTTTCATGGACTACGCAACTCATCAAGTGCTACCTGCATGGTTTATTTGTGCAAGGATCTGAAGATGACGCCGAAGTAGTATAGGGCAGGAAATTACGTTAGTGAGAGAGAACAAGACCTTGCACAACCTTATGTTAAATTACCTAGTATTGGTTGACATGTAAGCCTCCCACAGAGAGATCTGAATACATCCCAGGTGATCTTGAACCATGCCTCCTCCATTAATGAGTGGAGGTGGTTTCCAAAAAAACATTTTTTTGATGCAAGTTGAGGGCCACAGCTTAGAAAGCACCAAAAGATCCTGTTCAATTTTTATTATTATTATTATTAATAGAGTAGCAACAAAAAAAATATTTTCCACTATTACCTGTGCCAGTCCATGCATGCTGAGCATCACTAAGCATTATAATGAAGCCGGTGCCTAAATCTTTTTCCCATGATACTTGTAGAAAATATGTTGCTTCTGGATCAAAAACCGGGTGAATTATTTTCAAAGCCTTCTCCATTTCCAGGTACCTGTTACAGAAATAAGATAATCTTTTACTTATTTGATTTCTAAATTAATGGAAAGGAATATATTCAGAATGCACTTTATTAGATATGCTCAGCTTACTACYCCACGAGAGTTGCATCATATCAGAAATTCATTTGGTATTTATCATTTATACTATAAATAACACTTATTTAAGGCAGTTAAGAAAATGTGCATAATGCCTCTTCTTTACAGAAAAACAAAAAAAAAAATGGAGAGGGGTGAGGAGGAGAGGGACAGGAGAAACTTCTGAGGAAATACTTGACAAAACTTGTTCCGTACATTGGAGATAGAGGAAAATCTCCATCTTAAAAGTCTAATGTACACAAGAAAGCATGCAATATCCAACTGAAAGAGTAAGCACTAGTACTAATCAAAAGCAAAACAATGAATGCAGCTAAAACAGTCAAGGGAGCCAGGAAACTCGCTCCAAAGCCTAACAAGTGTAACATTGACCTACAGTCTGTAAAAAGCTAGTGAGCAAAGGGGCAAGCTTCAGAAAGAAAACTTATGTTGTAGAGCTGGTGGGTCACCAGATTAACTTCACAAACCCTAAAAAAAAAGGAATGCTCTCCTGTCTGTCTGGTCCACTCTGACAGATTTTGTAGGGGTTTTCTAATCCCAGTCCTCCCCGCTTTTGCTCAGACAGCAAAGGCTTGTCTCCTGCTCAGCCTTGCCTCACAGACTGTAGCTCATGGACCTCCAGKATCCTCCTCCTATGGCAGGACTGCAGTAGTCATGATACAGAGGCAGATATTTCCATTTTACACCCACAGAGCTTTCCAAAACCAACTGAATTTCAAAACTCAATCTACTGCTTCACTAATAGAGAAGTACAGTTAGTTCTAGCTCTGTACTTGCTTTAGATTGGGTTCTCTGTCAATGGAGAAAAACCTGGATTTGAAGCATAACGATCATAGAATCATAGAATGSTTRAGGTTGGAAGGGACCTCAGAGGTCATCKAGTCCAACCCCCCTGCACACRCAGGGTTACCTRGAGCACGTGGCACAGGGCTGCGTCCAAGCGGGTTTTAAAGATCTCCAGAGAAGGAGACTCCACAACCYCYCTGKRCAGCCTRTTCCMGGGCTCTGYCACCCTCACTGTCAAAAAGTGTTTTCTCAAGTTCCTGTGGAACTTTTGGTGCCTCAGCTTGTGGCCRTTTCCTCTAGTCCTATCAGTGGCCACCACTGAAAACAGGCCGCCCCCTCCTCCTCACTGCCTCCTTTGAGTTATTTATACACRCTGGACAATAAAGAAACAGAAGACTGGAACAGAAAACAGAAAACAGGGCAAGAATTAAATGCTGTTCCTTATCGACTAGTGAAAACATGGAGCACAGCTAGGAAAGGTCTGTTTTCTGAACTCCCTCTACATTCTTTACAATTCTGAGCCACAGTTCAGTAACCTGCTTCCAGCAGTAGCCTAAATGGATAGTTGACCTGATCCTCGGACTATACACCCTTTGCAGCACAGGCCTAGCCTAGGCAGCCTTCACAGAACACAACTACAACAGCACACAAGGAATCCTGGCTCAATTTATCATCTCTCCCAGCTAAACAAGTTTTGCTTCAAGCTTGTTTACAACCCACCAGCAAAGTCTTCCAGCTTCCAATTCAATTATCCCMAAGCCCGTCACCTCAGTTGTCTGATATTTTAAGTTCTTCAGAAATATCCTCTAAATTGTCTTTCACAAAGGCCATAAGAAGCCCCTACAGCAGGGAGCAAGGAGTCAGGCCTTACTGCTCTTGTCATGACACGTAGGTGCATTAGCACAACGAAACCCAGGATTTGCATAGATCCCTATCACGGATGCTAGTGGTCCACGGAGATTCAAGTGATCACTCTTGCCCGAGGTAAAAACAACACGCAGGGAACGCRCAGACACTTGGGCAGGTGTAGGTACTAACAGCTATCAAGACTTCCATTTAAAGCATAGCAATAAGTCATCCTGTTTAGCTTCAGTTCAGGCCCTGAGGGACTCCATTCTTCATTAAAAACAGTAATAGCAAGACGCTCTTTGCTCACGGGATATCAAGAGGCAAATCTAYGTACGGATTTCACTACCTTTGCCTCCCCCAAAGTTGACCTCTTCAGGTCAGGAGGCGCAGCTTTAACCCCAGTTGCCTGCCCTGTGTCTCACCTTTGCTCTGCTATTTACCTAATAACATCTGAAAATGCCTTTCCCCTGTCTGAACAAGTGTACAGTATTCCAAAGCAGCAAAATACATCCACTTCAGACTCGTTATTCAAGCAGGAAGCTGCATTAATAGCACTGAAACTGCACTGTCAATAAAGCAAACTTTTAACCAATTTTAGACATTAATGAGGTTACTGCAATGATAAGCTAAGTACCTAATCTAATGGCTAACTAAACCACAATACATATATATTTGGATTAACAAATGGCATATCAACAGCAAGCAAAACATCACATAATGTGCCTGAACACTTCCACAATTTGTTTAAAATGCATAACTAGCTATTTCTAGCATTCCTGAATAAGTATTATATTTTCATCATCAATTATGCCCAGAGTTGACTCTCCTTTTCAGTTTAAAGGTCAAGTATATACATGTAAGTATTATAATATTTTTCTGCTTAAAGGTTTTTCCAAAAAAGTTTAAGACATGGAAACTATGGTAAGAATAGAGGAGATAAGTCATATACCCAAAAATAAGCATCATAAATTTTAATCAATAGAGGTAACAGATAGCTTCATTACTTTTAATCCATAAGCTACCACCAATACTACTACTGGAAATGTGTAATCTTGGGGTCAATTCACTGAAGCAATAAAAGAAACCAAGTTAAGAACAATAACTAAGTAACCCCAATTCAAACAGTTCTCTTCTATTTCCACTAGTAATTTCCAAGTATCTACAGTACAACTGCATAGCACGTACAGAACTGCAAGAAAGAACAGAAAATGAAACATTCAGGGCACAGAGGCCTGCAACAAGGTCGCTGAAATCACTGTTTATGGAACAAAAGCCATTCGAAAGATTTGTAGTGCCAAAACTGCCTGGATAGGGGTCAATAAAGAACCCATGACAGGAAACACAAGTCAACGTGTGTAATGTGTTTAAGCACACAGCCATGTATTTCCTTTTGCCTGCCAGACTCCCGTGTTTTTTTCTCTTGCTCTGGAACAACACAGAACCCCTTAAGTGTTTTGATACAAGTTCTTCCTTGAAAGACACGTTTTTTAAGATGACTTTAATTATTCTTTTTACTTAAAGGCAGTAAATAGTTGCATGCAACCCACAGAGGAAGCATACAACGTACTGATGCATATTTTTGTTTTATATGTACATCTTAATAGACAACTTTTTTTTCATTGCATTCCATCCTTGTCACAAAGTGAACCAGCAGCCAGTAAAAGCCACCTGCCCCAGAGGCTTTCTTTTTACTGCAGAGCACTCATAACAGGAAGGAAAGTTAGAGATTTTGGTTTATATATATAGAAAGGTATCAGGGTAAAGCATCAGTCCTCAGTCATAAAAAGTGATATAAACTATATATTTATGGATTTCTCCATATAGGAAAAAAATATATTTATCTTTTTAAAGATGGTCTGAAATTTAAAACCCAAAATTGTATTCCTGGGATGCCGACCTCGTAGGCTTCTCAGACATCCGCCTTCCCATAGTAGTTTGGTGGCATAAAACAGCTACAACTGRAGAGTCCCTCCAGATATTAATGGCTAAAACACTGGGGACAGAAGCTACCTAGCAAGTTAAGAGTATGCAGCACAAAAGAAGGTTATTTCACTGACAGGACACAAAGTGTGGTCCCTACCTTTTGCCACATTTTATTGTACATCTTTGAACAAGCAATTCAATTTTACAARCCAGCATAAAATGAAAGTAGTATCTTTTTCACCCACCCTTTATCTTCTCCATTTTGCTCACTGACCTTCCAAGTTTAGTACTAATTAGTATGTAATAATATCTATTATTATGCAACGTAATGTAGTCAATTCGCCATTGACTAATGACTACACATTTAGAAAATGCCTCACAAAGCAGACCTCAGCCATAGTCGAGATCTCCAAGAACTCAATGCTTTCAATTTATCAGCAGAGYTCTAGGATTTGTCAACTATACACAATGGTTATTGTCATGAGCATAGTGGACTCAAACATAACTCTGTCCAACATCACATATATAAACATTGCTGCAAGAAAAATATTGTCTCTTACTGCTATTTTTTATAATCTACATACATATATATGAGTATTTATAAAAGAGAAGTYTCCACAAAATTCCCAGTAATAAAGCCCTAGCACAGAGAGAATGCACAGAAGTGTTGCAACGGTGGGTATCATGTAAACCACAGCACCTGAAGTAGAACACTCTCTTCAGAAGAGAACTACCTTTGCACCCTTTGAGGACCATAGCTCTCATTCACAGGCGAAATTCATGCTATACTGCAAAATAATATGTAAAAGAAAATCCTTGAAGTCTTCATAAGATCTAGTTAGCCTTTATGATCGTGTATTGCATTACCAAAGGCACACAGCCTTTTTTTTTTTTTTTAAAGTTAAATTTACACATTAATGAAGCGAGAATGAATCCGTATCAACGCACTACAAGCAGGTAAAGCATGAACAGAGCAAAATATAGCAAAGAAGCTACCACTATTTAGTAACTAATATATCTATTAGCTACCATTAACAAAAGAAAAAAAATGCAGGAAAGAAATCAAAGGTCTTCCCTACTCTTTTACTAAGATGATTGCAAGCATCTTATCCATTCTAGAAGGCAAAACTTAGTAACATATGTACAACAGTACATTACTGAAAACATATTTCAGGGAGAGGAAGCTGTTAAGCCTGCCTGAATCCCAAAAGTTAGCTATATATTCACAGGATTGACAAGTCATTTTGCCCAATATCTTTACAAGACATATATCACACTACACTTCAAACATTAAATCAAGACATCCCCTTTCTAATTAATATATCTCAGTTCACCTGCCTTC